GGTCTTCCCTCAGACCCCCACACTCGCCGCTCGACTCCCGTCGACTCCCCTCACCTCCTGACCAAGCTCCGCCACGAGATCTACGACCACCATGAGCGACTACATCAAGCTCAGCACCAGCGATGTACCAACCTTCTCCGGAGATGAGAAGGACTACCCTGATTGGGTACGGTGCTTCCGCACCATGCTGGGGTTCGAGGAATCGGCCCTACTGCGGGACACGGCGCTCGATGAGCACGTGCCTATCTCGGTGCAGCAGACGAAGCTCGAGGAGCTTCTGACGCGTGAGCAGGAGATCGAGGACAAGGCCATCACCGCCGAGTACACCAAGGCAGCAAAGGAGGAGGAGCTCAAGCAGATGCACAAGCAGCAGGAGAAGCTGAGGGCATCTATTGCTGCTCGCCTTCGCCTGCAAGAACAGCTCCGCCAAGTACGTCCTCGAGCAATACGAGGAGGGCGTCAAGGACACCTACGACGAGTTCGACGGTGTGCTGGCCTTCAAGAGGCTCAAGGCAAAGATGGAGTCCAACCCCATCTTCGCCGAGTTCTCAGCGCAACATGACTTCGACGCGTTCATCTGGGACTTCAGAAAGTCGGCCCTGGACAACAACGCCGAGTTCAAGCGGCTGGCCGGCAAGGTCAATGCGCAGAAGGAGGTGCTCACGGCCACAGCGCTCAAGCACGTCTACATCAAGGTGGTGCCGACAGCCTACAAGCTGCCGATCAGCGAGAAGATCATCAATAGCGACGTCACCCTCGACGACGCCATGGAGAGGGTGCGCAAGCTCGAGACAGCTGCAGCAATGATCGGGGCATCGCCTGGGCAAGACGCGAGCATGGGCGTCGGTGCGGCCACGACGCCAATGGACATTGATGAGGGCGCAAGGGCGGCCAGTGATGGTGAATCCGTCAACTGCAAGTACTGCCTCAACGACGGCCACTACCACTGGGACTGCAAGCGGCTGACGCACGACAAAAAGATGTACGGCATCACCCTCTTTCCGAGCAGCCACCGCATGAAGCGCGCTGCAGAGCTGCTCAAGAGCCACATCGATGAGGTCGAGCGTAAAGAGAAGGAGCGCGTCATCAAGGACAACAACAAGGGCAAGAACAACAAGTACAACAAGGGACATGGTGGTGGTATGCGTCTTGATCGACATCGTCGGCGCGAGACGCCACGAGACGAGCAGCGGAATGCTAACCGACACAGACGCAATCGCTCACACACACCGGTACAGGGGAGAGAGGAGGAGCACACACACGTGCCTGTTTTTGAAGAGAGGCAGCACAGAGAGGTGCACACATGGTTGGATGGCTGCAAGGTCTCAGAATCCTCGCGTGATGTGGTGATGCCACCGGTCGGGAACGATCGACGCGCTGAGACGACACACGACACACAGACATGCTTGTCTGGGAGAGAGCCGTGTGTAGGGGATGGAGATCGGGTGAAGCCTGATCGACTTCTGCCGGTCTCCACTTCCCATCGACTCGCAGCTGAGGAGGGGGTTCCCTCAGTTGTCCAGTGCACAACACAGATTGCATGCTTCACGTCTGCTGTGTTATCTGTGAAATCCAGAGCACTGGTTGATTCGGGCTGCAGTTGGCATGTCTTTCCCTCTTCTCGTTACTTCCTCAGGCTCGAGACACTCGTGGGTCGCTCTCTGACCGTCGCGGACGGCAGGAGCATCGCCGTGACGGCGGTGGGGGAAGTGGTCGTTCCCGTTCGGTGTCGCCACGACGTGGCGCCAAAGTACACAGGAACATCGTATACTACCCACCTAGACAGGTGTGGTCCCCTCGCCGCGGAGTCGGTGAAACTCTCCCGTGCTCTACTGGTGCCTGATATGGCGTTTATTTTGATTTCAGTGAGTGCGTTGGAGGACGATGGCTACCGAGTGGTGTTTAATGCTGATGACTATCACATCGCCCACACCAAGACAGGGATGACCATCCCATTCAAGCGCGAGAGTGATCTCTATGTGCTGGACTTCGCTGAATGCG